CTGCAACCCAGTGTACTACAGTGACAGACCTGTCCCCACCGGTACTGTATCCCAGTGTACTACAGTGACAGACCTGTCCCCACCGGTACTGCAACCCAGTGTACTACAGTGACAGACCTGTCCCCATCGGTACTGTACCCCAGTGTACTACAGTGACAGACCTGTCCCCATCGGTACTGTACCCCAGTGTACTACAGTGACAGACCTGTCCCCACCGGTACTATATCCCAGTGTGCTACAGTGACAGACCTGTCCCTCCTGCTTGTTGCAAAACAATGTGCAAGTGCTCCCAATATTTACTTTGCACCCTCCTCTCCAGCAGCCTCTGTTTGCACTTTTCTGGCTCACTACTCAATTCATGCTCAAACTCAAACCCTCTCTATTCTACTCATTTCTCAATTTTTGAGCACGTTCCAATGTAGCCTCTTAGGTAAAAACCGAAAGAACTGTATCTGCTGTAAATCAGGAACTAAAAGAGAAGTTGCTGGAAAAGCTCAGCAGGTCTGGCAGCATCTGTGAAGAAAAGTCTGAGTTAACATTTCAGATCCGGTGGCCCTTCCTCAGGATTGATGGTACCTAGGAAAACGTTGGTTTATATGCAGTAGATAGGGTGGAGGGACGGGGTAAGGAGTAAACGACAGGTGGGGATAGAGATAAAGAAAGAGAAGAACAGTTGGACAAGACAAAGCTGTTGATAATGATCAGGCTAGGAGGGTGAATAGCTGTTAATGGGGACTGTTAGTGACTAGCAATAGGTAGTGTGTAGTGGCAGATGATGTGACAACAAGGCCTGGTGTGTGGGGTAGGGGGCTAGGACATGGGAGAGTTCAGGCCCTAAAATTATTGAACTTGATATTGAGTCTGGAGGGCTGCAGTCTCCCCAAGCTTACGCTGAGTTTCACTGGAACACTGCAGCAAGCCTGAGACAGAGACGGTGGCCAGGGAACAGGGTGGTGTGTTAAAGTGGCAGGAAATTGGAAGCTTAGGGTCTCTGTGGGCCGAACATGGACGCTCTGTGACGTGGTCACCCTCTCTATGCTTTGTTTCCCCAATGTAGAGGAAATCACTGTGAGCAGCAAATACAGTAGATTAGATTGTGGGAAGTGCAGGTAAAGTGCTGCTTCACCTGGATGGTATGTTTGCGCCCATGGATTCTAGGGACAGAGGAGGTAAATAGGCAGGTGTTACACCTTTTGTGGTTGCAGGGCATGGTGCCATGGGGCTCTGGGGGAGATGCTGTGAGTGAAAGAAGAGTGGACCAGGGTGTCCCGGAAGGACATTTTCCTGTAGCATCAGAAGGGTCAGTGGACCTGAAACGATTTTTCTTCACAGATGTTGCCAGACCTGCTCAGCCTTTCCAGCAAAGTCTATTTTTGTAGCCTTTTAAGTGCTCACCTGCGACCTGGTTTTGGGGTACATGGGGGCGTGGCAGTTTCCAGGCTCCTGAAACACAAGAAAATTAAATAACAATTTAGAAAACTTCAGCTCAAGCCCTCTTCCTTGCATTGAGCTCTTCCCCCTTCCCAACTAGCGGGCAGGCAATAGCCCAGTGCTACTATCACTAGACTATTTACCCAGAAACTCAGCTAATGTTCTGGGCACCCGGGGTGGAATCCTGCCAATGCTGAAGGTGGAATTTGATTACAGTAAAAACTACCAGATGGATCATCTAGCATTGAACTAGGCACCGGAAAAGATAAACGGCAGAAACAGCCCGGTCGACCGTGCAGAGTCCTCCTCACTAACGTCTGGGGGCTAGTGTCAAAATTAGGAGAGCTGTCTCACAGAATAGTTAAGCAATAGCCAGACATAGTCATACTCATGGAATCACACCTTACAGACAACGTCCCAGACACCACCATCACCATCACCATCACCAACCCTGGATATGTCCTGTCTCACCGGCAGGACAGACCCAGCAGAAGTGGTGGCACACAGTGGGATACAGTCGGGAGGGAGTTGCTCTGGGAGTCCTCAACATTGACTCCGAAACCCATGAAATCCAATAGATTGATATTTCTCCATATTCAACAACACTGACCATGGCAGAGTCACAAAATGTTCTCTGGGTGGGGGATTTCAAAGTCCACCATCAAGAGTTGCTCAGCAGAAGGACTATTGATCGAGCTGGTCGGGTCTTAAAGGACATAGTTGCTAGACTGGGTCTGCGGCAGGTGGCGAGGGAACCAACAGGAGGGAAAAACATAATTGACCTCATCCTTACCAATCTGCCAGCTGCAGATGCACCTGTCCTTGACAGTATTGATACGAGCAAACACCACACATTCCTTGTGCAGACAAAGTCCCGCCTTCACATTGAGATAAACCTCCATTGTGTTGTGTGACACTATCACTGTGCTCAATGGAATAGACTTCAAACAGATCTAGTAATTCAAAACTGGACATCCACGAGGCGCTGTGGGCCATCAACAGCAGCAGAATTGTACTCCAGCACAATCTGTAACCTCATGGCCTGGCATATCCCCCACTCAACCACTACCATCAAGCCAGGGCATCAACCCTGGTTCAATGGAGAGTGCAGTAGAGGATGCCAGGAGCAGCACCAGGCATACCTGAAGATGAGGTGTCAACCTGGTGAAGCCACCAAACAGGACTAAGAACAAAGAACAAAGAAAATTACAGTACAGGAACAGGCCCTTCAGCCCTCCAAGCCTGCACTGACATGCTGCCCATCACAACTAATACCCCCTGCCCTTCCGAGGACCGTAGCCCTCTATTCCCATCCTATTCATGTATTTGTCAAGACGCCCTTTAAGAGTCACTATTGCATCTGCTTCCACTACCTCCCCCGACAGCGAGTTCCAGGCACCCACCACCCTCTGTGTAAAAAAACTTGCCTCATACATCACCTTCAAACCATGCTCCTCGCACCTTAAACCCATGGCTCCTGGTAACTCTCTCTTCCACCTGGGAAAAAGCTTCTGACTGTCCAGTCTGTCCATGCCCTTCATGATCTTGTAGACCTCTATCAGGTCGCCCCTCAACCTCCGTCGTTCCAGTGAGAACAACTCAAGTTTCTCCAACCTCTCCTCATAGCTAATACCTTCCATACCAGGCAACATCCTGATAAATCTTTTCTGTACCCTCTCCAAAACCACTACATCCTTCTGGTAGTGTGGCGACCAGAATTGAACACAATATTCCAAATGCGGCCTAATTAAGGTTCTATAAAGTTGCAACATTATCTGCCAATTTTTAAACTCAATGCCCTGGCCGATGAAGGCAAGCATGCCATATGCCTTGTTGACTATCTTTTCCACCTGCATTGCCACTTTCAGTGACCTGTGTACTTGTACACCCAGATCACTCTGCCTATCAGTACTCTTAAGGGTTCTACCATTTACTGTATATTTTCCATCTGGATTAGATCTTCCGAAATGCATTAGCTCATATTTTTCCGGATTAAACTCCATCTGCAAACTCTCTGCCCAAGTCACCAACCGATCTATATCCTGCTGTAACCTCTGACGGTCCTCATTGCTATCTGCAATTCTACCAACCTTTGTGTCATCCGCAAACTTACTAATCAAACCAGTTAACATTTTCCTCCAAATCATTTATATATATTACAAACAGCAAAGGTCCCAACACTGATCCCTGAGAAATGCTACTAGGCATAGCCCTCCATTCAGAAATGCACCCTTCCACTGTTACCCTCTGTCTTTTATGACCAAGCCAGTTTTTTTATCCATCTTGCAAGCTCACCTCTGACCCTGTGTGACTTTACCTTCTGTATCAGTCTGCCATGAGGGACCTTGTCAAAGGCCTTACTGAAGTCCATATAGACAACATCCACTGCCCTACCCTCATCGATCATCTTCGTCACTTCCTCAAAAAACTCAATCAAGTTAGTGAGAAACAACCTCCCATTCACAAAAGCGTGTTTCCTCTTGCTAATACGCCCATTTATTTCCAAGTGGGAGTAAATCCTCTACAATAATTTCCTTCCCACTGACATAAAGCTCTCCGGCCTGTAATTAGCTGGATTATCCTTGCCACCTTTCTTAAACAAAGGAACAACACTGGCTATTCTCCAATCCTCTGGGACCTCCCCTGTAGCCAGTGAGGATACAAAGATTTCTCTCAAGACACCAGCAATTTCCTCCCTTGCCTCTCTCAGTATTCTGGGGTATATCCCATCAGGCCCTGGGGATTTGTCTACCTTAATGTTTTTCAAGACCCTATACATCCTCCCTTTTGATCTCAACATGGCCCAAACCATCTACACACCCTTCCCCAGACTCATCATCCACCAAGTCCTTCTCTATGGTGAATACTGACACAAAGTACATTTAATACCTCACTCATTTCCTCTGGCTCCACACATAAATTCCCTTCCCTGTCCTTGTGTGGGCCAACCCTCTGCCTGCCTACCCTCTTGCTATTTTTATATATGTATAAAAAGCCTTGGGATTTTCCTTAATCCTGTTGGCCAATGACTTTTCATGACCCCTTTTAGTCCTCTTGACTCCTTGCTTAAGTTTCTTTTGACTTTCCCTGTATTCCACCCTTGCTTTGTGTTCTCCCAGCCTCATTGCCTTGACAAATGCTTCCTTTTTCTTTTTGACTAGGTTCACAATATCTCTCGTTATCCAAGGTTCCCTAAATTTGCCATACTTATCCTTCATCCTTAAAGAAATGTGCCGGTCCTGAGGTCCCAGCAACTTACACTTGAAAGCCTCCCACATACCATATGTTGATTTGCCCTCAAACATCTGCCTCCAATCTACATTCTTTAGTTCCTGCCTAATATTGTTGTAATTGGTCTTCCCCCAATTCAGCATCTTCAGGTGACAACTACACTTTATCCATCAGTACCTTAAAGCTTACTGAATTGTGATTCTGTTCCCAAGTTGCTCCACTACTAAGATGTCGACCACCTGGCCAGGCTCATTCCCCAATACTAGAGTCCAGTACGGCCCCTTTCCTATTTGGACTATCTACATACTGTTTCAAGAAGCCTTCCTAGATGCTCCTTACAAACTCTGCCCCATCCACACACCAAGCACTAACTGAGTCCCAGTCAATAAATGGAAAGTTAAAAATCACCCACAACAATAACCCTGTTACTTTTACATCTTGTGAAAATCTGCCTACATATCTGCTCTTCTATCTCCTGCTGGCTGTTGGGAGGCCTATAGTAAACCCAAACATTGTGATTACACCCTTCCTGTTCCCAAGCTCTACCCATATTGCCTCACTGTATGAGCCATCCAAGGTGTCCTCCTGTAGTACAGCTGTGATAATCCCTTTAACAAGTAGTGCAACTCCCCCCACCCCTTTTATATCCCCCCTACCCCGCCTGAAACATCTGTATCCTGGAAAGTTAAGCTGCCAGTCCTGTCCCCTCCCATAACCACGTCTCTGTAATAGCAACAACATCATAGTTTCAAGGACTAAATCCAAGCTCTAAGTTCATCTGCCTTATCTGTTACACTTCTCGCATTGAAACAGATGCACTTCAGTCCACCAGACCCACTTTGATCAGCAACCACACCCTGCCTGTTCTTCCTCCGAGTCTTACTGGCCCTATTCTCCAGTTCCCTTTCAGTCCATTCACCTTTGCATTGGCTCCCAACCCCCTGCCAAGCTAGTTTAAATCCTCCCGAGTAACACCAACAAACCTCCCAGACAGAATATTTGTGCCCCTCCAGTTTAGATGCAGCCCATCCTTCTTGTACAGGTCCCACCTGCCCCGGAAGAGATCCCAATGGTCCAGATATTTAAAACCCTCCCTCCTACACCATCTGTTTAGCCACATGTTGAGCTGTACTATCCTCCTATTTCCAGCCTCACTGGCACATGGCACAGAGAGTAATCCTGAGATAACAACCTTTGAGGTCCTGCTCTTTAACTTTCTACCTAACTCCCCGAACTGCTGCTGCAGGACCTCGTCACTCATCCTACTTACGTCGTGAGTACCAATATGTACCACAACCTCCGGCTGTTCACCCTCTCCCTTCAGAATGCTTTCTGCCCGTTCAGAGACATCCTGGACCCTGGCACCAGGGAGGCAACACACCATCCTGGAGTCTCTTCTACGTCCACAGAAGTGCCTATCTGTACCCCTCACTGTACAGTCCCCTATAACTACTGCTCTAGTGCTCTTTGTCCTTCCCTTAAGAACAGAACCAGCCATGGTGCCACCAGTCTGGCTGTTACTGTTACCTCCTGATAGGCCATCCCCCCCAACAGTATCCAGAACAGTACGCTTGTTAGCAGGGGGGGAACCACCACAGGGGATCCCTGTACTGCCTGCCTGTCTCTTCTAGCAGTCCCCCATCTATCTGCCTGCACCTTGGGTCACCACATCTCCAAAACTCCTGGCTATGATGCTTTCTGCCATCCTCATGCTCCTAAGTGCATCCAACTGCCGCTCCAACCTATCAATGCGGTCTGTGAGGAGCTGCAATTGGGTGCACTTCCTGCAAATGTAGTTATCCTAGACACTGGAAGCATCGCGGATCTCCCACATCTCACAAGTGCAGCAATTAATCACACTGACTGACATTTCTATCACCAATCAAGCTCTTTAAGAAAATGTCACTTGACAACAGCCTTCCGCAAACCACCTCTGGAAGCAGTGACAGCACTGATATCTTCCCCACATCAGCCATCAGCGTCACCATTCTGCTGCCCTCTTCCAGGTCAAGCAACTGCTTGCACACCAAACAGCATAAGCAGCAAGTGAAAGACAGAACTAAGCGATCCCATAAACAACGGATCAGATCTAAGCTCTGCAATGCTGCCACATCCAGTCATGAATGGTGGTAGACAATTAAACAACTCACTGGAGGAGGTGGCTCCACAAATATCCCCATCCTCAATGATGGAAGAGCCCAGCACATCAGTGCAACAGATAAGGCTGAAACTTTTGTAGCAATCTTCAGCCAGAAGTGCCGAGTGGATGATCCAACTCGGCCTCCTCCAGTGATCTCCCTAGGATTACAGATACGAGTCTTAAGCCAATTCAGTTCACTCCACATGATATCAAGGAACGGTTGGAGACACTGTATAATGCAAAGGCTACAGGCCCTGACAACATTCTGGCAAATAGTACTGAAGACTTATGCTCCAGAACCTGCCACTCCTCCAGTCAAGTTACAACACTAGCATTTATCCGACAATGTGGAAAATTGCCCAAGTATGTCCTGTACATAAAAAGCAGGACAAAGCCAACCCGGCCAATTACCGCCCCATCAGTCTTCTCTCGATCATCAGTAAAGTGATGGAAGGTGTCACCAACAGTGCTTTCAAGCAGCACCTGCTCAGCAATAACCTGCTCAGTGACGCCCAGTTTAGGTTCCACTGAGGCCACTCAGCTCCTGGCCTCATTACAGCCTGAAGAGCTGAATCCCAGAGGTGAGGTGAAAATAACAGCCCTTGACATCAGGCTGCATTCAACGGTGAGCCATCATGGAGCCTTAGTAAAACTGGAATCAATGGGTATTGGGGTAAACTCTTCACTGACTGTAGACATACCTAGCACAAAGGAAAATGATCTGGTTGTTGGAGGTCAGTCACCTTAGCTCCAGAACATCTCTACAGGAGTTCCTCAGGGTAGTGTCCTAGGCCCAACCATTTTCAAATGTTTCATCAATGACCTTCCCTCCAACATAAGGTCAGAAGTGGGGATGTTCGCCAATGATTGCACAATGGTCAGCACCATCGTGACTCCTCAGATACTGAAGCAGTCCATGTTCACATCCAACAAGATCTGGTCAATATCCAGGCTTGGGCTGACAATTGGCAAGTGACATTCATGACACACAAGTGAGGGGCAATGACCATCTCCAACAAGAGAAAAGCTAACCATTGCCCCTTGACATTCAGTGCCATTACCATCACTGCCAAGCAATGACCATCACCAATAAGAGACAATCTCACCATTGCCCCATGGCATTCAATGGTTCTCCATCACTGAATCCACCACTATCAACATCCTGGGGGTTATCACTGACCAGAAACTCAACTGGACTCGCCTAATAAACACAGTGGCTGCACTGCAGGTCAGGAACTAGGAATACTGCAGTGAGTAATTCACCTCCTGACTCCTCAAAGCCTGTCCATCACCCATAAGGAACAAGTCCTACTTGCCTCGATGGGTGCAGCTCCAACACTCAAGAAGCTTGACAGTATCCAGGACAAAGCAGCCTGCTTCATTGGCACGACATCCACAAACATCCATTCCCTCCATCACTGACGTACAGTGGCAGCAGTGTCTACTATCTACAAGATGCACTGCAGAAGGATACTCGGACAGCACTTTCCAAATCCAAAACCACTTCAATCTAAAAGCAAAAGCGCAGCAGATATATGGGAACACCACCACCTTCATGTTCCCCTCCAAGCCTCTCAACATCCTGATTTGGAAATATATTGCCGTTCCATCACTGTTGCTGGGTGAAAATCCTCAAATTCCCTCCCTAATGGCATTGTGGGTCAATCTACAGCAGGTGGACTGCAGTGGTTTAAGAAGGCAGCTCACCACCACCTTCTCAAGGACAGGTAATAAATGGTGGCCAGCCAGCAATGCCCACAAATGAATAAGTAAAACATTCCTTAGGCTAAGCTCTCCCTGAACAGGGAGTGTTTGTATGGGCACATGATCCTGGGAGACTTGCTCCAGTTGCTGAATGAATCAAACACTGTGGCTGCTTCCTCTCCTTCCCCAACCAGCGTGTAGCATCAGAGCCACTCACCTCTCCGACTCCCGGTCCTCCTCCATTACCTGATCCAGGGCAAATGGAAAATCAAAGCTCGACTTTGGTACAGAAGTATTGCTGTCAATTGACAAATTGTCACTAGCCGTCCTCACTGCAGCAGATGCTGCAGCTACAGGATCTGAAATGTAGACAGAATCAGAGTGAGTCAACAGAACTACAGTAAGGTATTCATCCTCTTCCACCACATGTTGGTCTTTACTTTCACAGGACAATTATTTTAATCCCATAGAGTAGAGATTTAATCAGTAAAGGAATAATGGGCCATGAAAATAAGGCAGG